GTTTGACCAACGGATCAACCCTATGCCATTTCTATGGCCCAACTAAAATATCTACCATCATATAAATATTATCTAGACCAAGATGAATATAATATGTGGTCTTGGGATTATCCACTTGTCCCCGCTCCCGATGTGGGCCTTGAGTGCAAATTCACTATTCACGCAAAAGTAATAACAAAAATTTACAACCTCATAAATTCATTAACCATTTCATAAGGTTCAATACATGATTTACTGAAAAGTAAATATACTTGGGGACGGTGTTACAGTACACACCACTCCAAGTTACTCAGACCTTAGGTTTTTCTCGATTGATCCAGTGGGAATCAAAAGGTACTCTATCCTATCTAACCACACGTAGGACTTGAACAACTGTCCTCTTAAGTGTTTACAAAAGTTTATGATAACCATAAGAAAATACAATTCCAACTAAAAACTAAAGTTCCAGAATCTAGCAATGAAAAAGCTCTAACTTGGAAGTTTAGTGAAACATGAGTCTAAGTAAAGAGCAAAGTTAAACATGCACTTTCTCTTTTGCTAGATATCTCTTGAATGCTTAGTAAGATTTTCTCTACTTAGAAGACTCAAAAACTTGCTTTAGAACTCATGCTTCGGCCTATATTTATAGACTTCTCCAGTTGATTAATCTCATCCGTTGGTTGAAATGAATTAATCTTTGACGTTGAATTCTGGCAAAGACGTGTTGATGTTCGTCTTCTTGTGTTGTAGCAGATCTTGGTGATTTCCTTTGTCTTCACTCATGAGCCGCTGAAAGATCACTTCAGGATCAGTTTGATGATTCATTGTGTGCGTCCCATGCTCTAGGTCCCATGTACGTTTTAGCATTAAATGCCTGCCAAAATTTGTCTTCAATCATACATATGCAATGCATATGAACATTTCTGTTTTTACGTACGTGTTTGACCTTTGTAACTTAGAATATTTGTTGTGACAAATAAATTTATACTGGTGGGATTTAAATATGGGAAAAGTAATTAAAATATCCCAAACTTTGTAGGGGTGTGAGATGAACACCCCAAACTTGCATATGTATTTTAAATACCCCAAACTTTATATAAAAAGTTATTTTGGCACCATAGTCAAGTATTATTTCTTTCATAAATGTAAATTTATTGTGTTAATTGCATAATTTAAAATATTTTAGAATTCATGAAGACACAATTAACATTATAAACTTTCATTGCAAAATAATAATGTTACCCCAATCTATATAATTGCAACACTTTTAATTTGCTATTTTAAATTATGCAATTAACCCCATAAGTTTACATTTTTTTAAAGAAATATTACATGACAATGGTGCGAAAATAACTTTTTATATAAAGTTTGGGGTATTTAAATTACATACGCAAGTTTGAGGTGTTTACTTCACACCCCATCAAAGTTTGGAGCATTTTTATTATTTCTCCCTTTAAATATCCCTTTTAAGGTAAATAAAATTTACCTTGTTGCATTTTTAATTTCAAGCATAATTTATTTGTTACAAAAATTGTACATTTGATTTTTGTGAAGACGTTCATTCTTAGATGAGGGACTGGGCGTTGGCCCCTGTCTGAAAATGAAGGACGACGTTTGGAGACATTAGTCTCCTGATGATTACGGCGCTGATGAAGCCGTCCGTTGTATAAAGAACCAATCTTTGACGATATCCTCAAATTGATGGATGGCGTTGAGGACGTTCGTCGTCAGATGACAACGGCGTTGATGAAGCCGTTCGTCATATAAAGGACCAAGCTCTGTATGAGGTTTAAGGACCAAGCTATGACAACGACGTTGATGAAGCCGTCCCCACATGAAGAACTAAGCATTGATGTCCTCCTGAAGATGGAGTTAGACGTTCGTCTCCTGATGATGAAGGGCGGTTTTGGGGACACTCGGCCTTTGTCACTTTGATCAACTTTGGACACTGACACTTAAAGTAAGTAGACTCGAAAGCACAAGAGCAAAGTATAGTGGCATCATCAAAATCTATCAAAATTCGATACTAACAGTTCATACACCCGGATGTATGATACAGGAGCTGGGGGAATGATCCATGATGTATGATATAGGAGCTGGGGGAATGATCTGTGATGTAGCGGTCTGTAGAGGAGCAATGAGGGTGTCACATTCAGGTATTTGCTAAAACTTCCTATTGGCATGTATTATTTGTTGATCATAGCTTCCTATTTTTTAAAAGCACCTAATGGTGAGTATGCAACTATTATAAAAATCATGTAAGGATATGAAAAACAATCTGGACAGATTTCATTTTTAGTAAATCATCTTTGCCCTTCAATCAGAATGTGGGGGATTCAACGAGACACACGAAAAACAAAACTTTGAATTAAAGGAGAAAATCAGTCTGAATCTAATTTTGCAAGGTGGATTCAATAAGCGCTACTTTGAGGTAAGGCTGTAATGGCGAAGACGTACCGCAACCTTTCTAGGGATAGTGCAATGCCACACCATCATGTTAATTGTATCATCTTCTTGCGTCTCCGGCTCATTCACAAAGGTTCGAAAACAAAAAAAAATGAGGAAAAGAAAAACAGTTTAGAGAGATAATATCAACCAGACACAGTGAGCGAGAGAGAAGAGGAGAGGGTCGAACATGGGGGTGATCCTTGCGCTCCTCTGCCAGACAGCCGCCAACAACTCTTAACACATTTCTTGCTCTTTCAGTGTTCGACGGATTCTCTATCTCTATCCCGGAATGAGGATTCTTAAAGGGGAAACTCTATTGTGCATTTATTAAATTGTAGTGTACCCATACCTACACTTTTAAACCAGTCGGATTCTTAACTTTGGATCAACATTTTGGTGCTTGACACCAAATGCATAGCATTTACTATGTCTTGGGACTTCTTTGTAGATGCTGACATAGAAGATCTGTAATGCCCATAAATTCTTTAATAAGATGGAACAAGAAAACAAAATCAAAAGATTTAATCTCCTTAAGTGCTCCAACTACATCTCCACGAGTAGAAAAGTTATTGCCATTCTCTTCAACATCTTCTAAAACAGAACAAGTTGCACCAAACATCCTAATCAAACTGCAATGAAGTGAATCCTTCCCAAATCTTTACTGTTAAATACAATCAATTTATTGAATAACTTAATAACTTCAATAATAAATACCAGCCAAAATACCAACCCAAATTCGTATGAAAAAATGGAAAATAGCAATATAAAAAATTGTTTAAAATACCAATTCGCAGAGCTTAAGAGCCACAGAGGGCAGAGGGACAGAGGTGACGAGTGAAGACTGAAGATGTGCAAAGGCGCAGCCGCGCAGAGCCTTAGAGCCGGTAGAGGGGCTGCCGGACTGGACTCCAAGACTTGTTGAGAGGCGCAATGACAGGATGGCGGACTGACCGTGAAATTGGCGTCATTGCAATGTAGCTACTCTTCGTGACTCGGTCCCTCGGTCGCAGGTGGGGTTTGCAACTTGAGAGTTTGTCGCTCCTTATTCCATATCATTTTGGTTGAGTTGTGTATCTCTTCCTTGGAGTTTTGGACTGGGCTGATATAATATTACTTTCATAAGTTCTATTTGTTTAGCCTTTTAAATAATTGGGCCTCTGCGAGGGGGCAATGCTTTGGGGGCAATAATATTTTTTGGGGGGTTCAAAATATTTTTGAGGGTTCGAAAATTATTTTTTGAGGGGGCAAAATTATTTTTCACATGTATATACACTAAAAAAATTGTTGAGGGGCGGTAGGCCCCCCTGGGTCTCAACTAAGGTCCGCCCTTGGCCATAGTTTGGCATATGGCTGTTAACGAACCGAGCTTTCATCGAACTATTCGAGTTCGAGCTCGATTTCGAACCTAACGAGCTTTCGAACTCGAACCCGAGCTGAGTTTTAAGTTCGAAAAATTAATCGAGCCGAACCCGAGCATAGTAGTATTCCGCTCGATTCGAACTCGAGCTTATCGAACACCCTGAAATTATAAATACAATTTATATATATGTCAAAATTTAAATATAACTAGTATGATTTTATGAATTTAAATATGATTATTAACAAACTGAATACTTGTCGAATCATTCGAGCACGGGCCTATTAATGAGCATCACCTAGAATTTTAAATTGGAGCATATTTCTCGAGCTTATCGAACGCTCGGTTCGAACATCGAATGCTTATCGAACCGAACACGAGCCTCATTTGTAAAGCTCACCGAGCTTCGAGCTCGAATCCAAACACCACTAATTCATTATCGAGCCGAACTCGAACTTCAGGTGTTCGGCTCGACTCGTTAATAGCTAGAGATAGCAATTGTGACCGAACCGATGGATATCCGCATCGAACCGCCCCAATCAAAACGGGGAAAATTGCATTGACCGGGTAACGGGTACGGGGCGGGGAATACCCGTTTTATTTTTACGGGTAATGGGATGGTTACGGTTTTATGCATGCCCGCCCCATTACCCGCCCTGTTTATTTGTAGTTATATTTTTATTATATTTTTATGTATTATTTGTATCACAACTATTAAAAGATGAGATTTTTTCTTTCCATTGTGTATATATAAATAATAGATGTAGTAACCATAATGTATGAATGAAAGATCATAATAGATTTCAATAGTCTTGTTTGATTATTACCATATTTTTGTGATTAATTAATTTTTAGATCAATTATGTTTAGGTTCAAATTAATTTAGGTTGCTTCCTTTCTCGTCTTGTAGATATACAAATCTTTAAATTGACATCTAAAGTGTAGAGTCGTCTAGAAGATGTCATTCTTCGCCTCTTAAAATATTATTTTTATATTAAAATTTAATGACTCAATTAATAAAGCGGTTACCCGAAATTTTACTGGTTATCCGTTGGGACGGTTATAGTTTGGGTAAAAATTACCCGTTGGATAATGGGGCGGTTACGGGCGGGGAAATTACCCGTTACGGTTATATGTAAAACCGTCCCCGATTAACCCTATTAAAACCATCCCTATTAATAGAGCTAGTTTGGCAAAAAGATCAAAATTAAAGCCCAATTGCGGAAAACCCACGAACTAGGTTCCTATTTTTCAGAACTCAAATTGAAGCCTTATAATTTGCCAAACCCTAGGCCATCCTCTTGAAAAATTCCCGAATAGCTCTGAGAGAAGAAGTCGATGACTTGATGGACCCTTCAGCAGCTGCAGTAGAACCCGACACCTACATCTGTGGAGGTACGTGCTTCGTTTTTCTTTACCTCAGCTCCGTTGATTTATTGTTTTCTAGGTATTAGCCGTGAATTTGGATTGATGTGGTGCAGATTGTGGGCACGACAACGCACTGAAGACGGGAGATGTGATTCAGTGCCGTGAATGCGGCTACCGTATTCTCTACAAGAAGAGAACCCGCAGAAGTATGTACTCACAATTTTTCTTTGCATAACTTTCAGTTGTCCAATTTCTCTTCTTTTGTTCAAGTGTATATTTAATGCTCCTCCAGTCCCAGAGAAGATTGTTTTAATCTCTTCTTCTCGAAAAAAGAAACAAAAATACCTTTTTTATTAGAACGAGTTGAATGTCACATGTTATTTCCCAACAATGGTCACCTTCTTATATAGTTTTTTCATGTACTCTAACAACTAATCAGCTTAATGACGTAATCTGGTCAGTGCTACAGCTCTATGGCTTTAGTGCAAATAGCATGAGAATGATGACAGTCCCCTGTTTACATAAACCAAATCCACTATATGATCAATTCCGTTTAGACAAGCAAAATCCAAGATATGATCTATCAGGGGCGGATCTACATACACATTGGGGGGGGGGGGGGGGGGCAGCTGCACCCAATAAAGGTCCAGTTGTGCTACATAAATTAGGAGGAAAAATACTTAGTTTATACATTTGCCCCCAATTAAAAATGAAGATTGCCCCCATAACCGTAGAGTCTAACGGCTAAAGTAAATAATTTCAGAGCTTCATTTTTCATCAAAGATTAATAGGGAGTTCAGAAGTGGAGGTTTATATTTTGTACTTCACGAAGTATTTAATTATCAAGACTTAGAGATGTATTTATTACTCTACAAGTAATAAATAAGCAAACTAACTTATCCTAATTTATAAAAATCTTAATACGTAGTACAGTAGCCTATAGGTTAAAATTAATTTAGTAATAATCTAAAATTTTAAATTAATTATATAGTAACGTAAATAACACTTTTATCGAAACATAAAACTAACTATAATCTTCATCCCATAATGTAAGATACATGTAATTTGGTGTGAGTTTTAAAAAAATAAAGAATAAAATTATTATTTAACAATTGTAACCTCCACAAAGTAAGAAAAGGTAAGATGAGTTCATAAAAGGTAAAAAGTGAAATAATAGATAAATAGATAAAGTGATAAAATGAAAAGTTAGTGGAGTGTTCAATTCAAAAAAAAAAATCATATATTTGGGACAATAAACCGAAAGCATCTTACAAAGTGAAAAAAGTGCATACTAATTACTAATGTAATTATCACTATTAGGTTAAGTGGTTAACATATTACTAATATAGCTAGCACGATTAAAATGTTGTTTACGTTGATAATGTGCTAACACATAGAAGGATTGGTAATATAAAAGTCTTGGTGATCTTTAGTTACGTTCTTTTAACAAAAGAAATCTTTCACATCCTTTGGTATATATGCTTTCAAAGTTTATTTTGGCTTTGCCCGTTGCCGTGCAACTTTCAAAGATGCTTTTGTCGAATGAAAACAGTTAAACTAACTTGCCTTACATAAACCCGGTACGGTGATCTACTTTTGAATGATTATTTAGTTTCTTTTATTTGAAACAATTACAAACGAAACTATAGTAAATCACTTTCAAAAGATGAAAATCGATGATAGTAGTCGGATCCTGCCCCCAATACATCGTATTTCTAGATCCACCACTGTGATCTATTTAACTGCATATGGTTTGAAAATTTAACTAAAATTCATTAACAGTCAAAGTTACTAAGTATTATATCATCCAAGTATTTATTCTCTTTGTTATTCTAAATGACAAAGTCTAAATGACCAAAAGTTAACAGTCTAAATGACCTAATAGTTGTATCGACAAAAAAATAGTATATACTAAGTATTATATCATCCAAGTATTTATTCTATCATGTTTCTACTTAAAACCCGGGAATTGGGGGAATAAATCCAACTCCACCAAATGGTCATTTTCCCGTTGCTGATCTTTCCCTGTCGAAATCCTCCCTTTCGAAATTTTCCCACATGGTAACTGCTCATTTTCATTTTCACCCTGTCGAAATCCTCCTTGCAACTCATTTTCATTTTCAGCTTGTTTAAATTCCTCTAATCTAATCTGACCGATGACATCTTCAATATTAGCGGCTTCTCTTGTGCAGCCGATTATTGTGGACTCCCCATCTTTTTTTTTAATTGCGCAGAGTACAAAATCCTTCAGTTGTTCCTACATTTAGAAAGGCGTGATGGATTAGTTTAAAGTCAACAAATTGGGGCAAAAGTAGGGGGTGGATTGATTTTTTACTTTACTGCTTTAGTAAAAAGCTTTTTTCAACTCTAACAAATGAAGAAGAATAAGAAAGTAGAAAAAAGATAAGCAAGGGACCAACTAAAAGAATCGTTATGTATTTTACACTAGGTTAGTGTCTGGTGATTGAATTTAGGGAAATAGACTTTAATAGGACTAAAACAAGAGCTCAAGCGGTAAATAAGACCTCAAACTTTTTAAATCCTAAATAGGACTAATTTTGAATCGAAGGGACAAATTTGCCCTTACTAATAACGTTTCTAGACCGCAGCAATCTTGCTGCCAATTAAAGTGCCAACATAAGTAGCTTACTTTCAGCAACCATGACTATTTCAGTCACTCCATCTTTTACTGCCGATCTGTGTCAAATTATTGTTGGAGTGGTCACCGGTGCGAAGCATCACCCAAGTGGTCACCGGAGTGTCCTTTTCCTCTTGTTCTTCCTCCCGACCTCTTCTTCTTCTCTCTCGTTTTCTTCTACTTCCCCTCTTTAATGAGTATCTTTATAAGTAATTGCCCTATATAGGACTAAAAGAGGGGAGAAATTCTTAAATAGGACCATATGTGTTTTATTCCCCAAATAAGATCATATTACTCCTATTTTGAAACCTACGTAATTTCTCGTTCCATTTTTATCCCTCTTTAACGGATCGAGAATCATCCCTGCGCAGACCCCTATCTAAAAAAATAACTTTAGCAGAAATGCCAAATATGATTTTGTCATTAAATTCTTATTTCTGTTAAAGCTATTGTTCTATTTTTTTTTTTGGTTTTTTAAAAATTTAGTTGTGGAGGAGGGTGCTGTGGTAGGCGTGTGACGGCCAACAGTATCACCTAGTCACATCACATGACATGAATCGAAATATGAAAATCGCTAATGCTAGGTCGTCACCCGTAAGTGACGCGTCATCCCTCCGTCTGGGGGTGGTGTCAAATATGCAAGGGCGCGCTACACTTGATAGACCTGGGTGTGGTGATAAGAATGCTAAGGTTGCTAGGTCGCCGCCCAGAAGCGGCGCGTCATCCCATTGCCCGGGGATGATGTCAAATATGCAAGGGCATGGTGGGGTCCGAGATGGGGCTAAGAACAGAAGGTGGAATGCTAGATTGCGTTTTGGGACATGGAATGTTGGGTCTCTTACAGGGAAATCTTCTGAGGTAGTCGAGGTTATGAGCAGAAGGAATATCAGCATTATGTGTGTGCAAGAAACTAAATGGGTTGGACAGAAAGCACGCGAGATTAATCCCGGAGGTTTTAAGTTGTGGTATTCGGGGAGAGATAAGACTAGAAATGGGGTAGGCATTATTGTGGCACGTGACTATGTTGAGGATGTGGTAGAAGTCTTCAGGAAGAACGATCGCATCATGAGCATTAAATTGGTGATAAGAGGTGAGATTGTGTCTGTGGTAAGTGCCTATGCACCACAAGTGGGATTGGATGCATCTACAACTCAACAGTTCTGGGAAGATCTTGAAGACGTGGTGCGACGAGTGCCAAGGGGAGAGAAGTTGATCATAGGAGGTGACCTCAATGGGCATGTGGGCTCGAGTCGTGATGGCTTTGAGAATATTCATGGCGGACATGGTTTTGGCACTAGGAATGAGGCGGGAAAGAACATTTTGGATTTTGCCTTGACGTATGAGTTGGCTATAATGAACACTTGGTTTAAGAAAAGAGACTCTCACCTTATAACCTATAAAAGTGGAGCTAATAGTACCCAAATTGACTACTTCTTAGTACGGACCACTGGGAGAACTAGCTACACTGATTGTAAGGTTATTCCAGGTGAGAGTGTTGTCACTCAGCATAGGATGCTTGTGCTTGACTTTCGAGGTAAGAACCATAGAAGACAAGTTAAACAACAAGTGGAGCCAAAGATAAAGTGGTGGAGGCTAGAGGGAGATCTTCAACAAAGTTTTACACACAAAATGGTCGGTGAAGATGTATGGCGTATTGATAATGAAACACAGGTGGATGATGTGTGGTTATCAATGGAGTTGACCATTAACAAAGTGGCAAAGGAGGTACTTGGAGAATCTAAAGGATGTCGGCCACCTAAAAAGGACACATCTTGGTGGAATGATGAGGTGAAACAAGCCATAAGGAACAAAAGAGATTGCTACAAAAAGTTGGGGACAAATTGGAGTGATGAGAACATAGAAGCATACAGGGAGGCTAAAAGACAAGCAAAGAAAGCCGTAAGGGAAGCACGAGGGAAAGTGAACAAGGAGTTGTATGAAAAGTTGGACTCTAAGGAAGGAGAACTAGATATTTATAGACTTGCTCGCCTTCGTGATCGCAGAACTCAAGATATTGCAAAAGTTAAGTGTGTGAAGGATGTTGATCAGAGGATATTAATGGACGACGGAGAGATAAAAGAGAGGTGGAGGTCATACTTTGATACACTATTCAACGGGAACAAAACGCAAGATATCGGCGATTTGTCCATACCAGATTGTATGGTTAACCGTGATTTTGTGAGAAGAATCCAAACAACAGAAGTTAAAGAAGCTATGAGGAAGATGGGACGGAAAAGAGCAATGGGGCCAGATGGCATACCGATCGAGGCTTGGAGAAGTTTGGGAGAAAGAGGCGTCGAGTGGTTAACAAGTTTCTTCAACATGATTTGGAGAAACAACAAGATGCCAACGAGTTGGAGGAAGAGTACTCTTATCCCTTTATTTAAGAATAAAGGTGATGTACAAGAATGTGCCAACTATCGAGGGATTAAGCTTATGAGTCACACCATGAAACTTTGGGAGCGAGTGATTGAGCAAAGACTTCGAAGGACTGTGAAGATTTCAGAGAATCAATTCGGTTTTATGCCTGGTCACTCAACAACTGAGGCTATTCACCTTCTTCGTCAACTTATGGAGAAGTATAGAGATGCTCATAAGGATCTGCATTTGGTGTTCATTGACTTAGAAAAGGCATATGATAGGGTACCTCGAGAAGTTCTTTGGTGGGCCTTAACTAGGAAAGGCATATCACGCAAGTATATCAGCATCATCATGGATATGTATGAGGATTGTACTACAAGTGTTCGTACTAGTGTAGGGAGGACTGAAGAGTTCCCTATTACTATCGGAGTGCACCAATGATCGGCCTTGAGTCCTTTCTTATTTGCCATAGTCATGGATGAACTTACGAAGTCAATTCAAGACGATATACCGTGGTGCATGATGTTTGCCGACGATATTGTATTGATTGATGAGACGCAATCAGGTCTTAAAGCAAAGTTGGAAGTATGGCGACAAACATTGGAGAATAAGGGTTTCAAACTAAGTCGGAGCAAGACAGAGTACATGGAGTGCAAGTTTGGTGGAGGTAGAAGTAGTGGTAATAGCGGAATTACTCTGGATGGTAAGGAGATACCAGTCAGCGATATGTTCCGTTATTTGGGCTCCATAATTCAGAAGGACGGTGAGTTAGATGGAGATGTATCCCATAGAATCAGAACAGGGTGGATGAAGTGGAAGAGTGCGTCAGGATTTCTATGCGATCGAGGTATGCCGACTAGACTGAAGGGTAAATTTTATAGGACAACAATTAGGCCTGCATTACTGTATGGCGTAGAGTGTTGGGCGGTGAAACAATGTCACATTCAAAAGATGAGTGTGGCAGAGATGCGCATGCTGCGTTGGATGTGTGGGCATACTAGGAAGGACCGCGTGAGGAATGAGACAATCAGACAAAGGGTGGGAGTAGCACCTATTGAAGACAAGATGCGGGAGTCGCGCCTACGGTTGTTTGGTCATGTGCGTAGAAGACCGAGTGATGCACCTGTTAGGCGAGTTGAGATGTGTGGAGAAGAGGCAGGAAAGAGAGGGAGATGAAGACTCAAACAGACGTGGGTTAGGGGAGTTCGAAGTGATATGCTTCTTCTGGGGTTGGATGAGGGCATGACTTTGGAGAGAACTAAGTGGAGGGCGGGTATTCACGTGAAGGAGTGATCTTGATAATCTTTTTCCCTCCTCTTTTTTTTCCTAGTTTTTTTATCCTTATATATATATGCATTATTTGCAACCTTTTTATTTTATCATTTTTATATATATTCATCTTTTTTATATTATCTTTTCATAATAGCTTATCTTTTTATCTTTATTCCTTCTTTTCCTTTTGGTTGTGATATCATGTATCGATTCATGTTAGCCGACCCCAATATCTTTTGGGACTAAGGCTTGGATGTTGTTGTTGTTGTTAAAAATTTAGTTGTGGACTTCATAGTTTGCCAAAATTATGGCAGTTTTGTGTAAATAAGTCAAGATAAATCTGCCAAATTTATGGCAGATCTGAAAATTTGTTTCCAAGGCAGATTTGTCAGTTCTCTTCAAGGTCAAATCTGCCAACTTAATGGCAAATTTACGGCAGTGGGCTATGACAGCGGCGGTGGTGCTCGGATGTGAAGTGGTGGCCTTGGATTGAACACTGGCGGCAATGACAAGGATAGGATGGCGGCGGCGGAGGGGGATGGCGATGCCGTTTGGGCAGCAACGGATGGCAACAATGCGCCAGCAGGGATGCGATAGGGGGTCGACGAGGCCGGCGGCGGTAGTCGACGGCGGCAGCGAGGGTAGCGGTAGTCGGCGGCGGTGGGCGGCTCTGACTCTGGCATGCTGCTGCTAGCAGTTGACACTTTAGGGTTTCAACAGTTTTTTATTTTTCATTTTCAAAATCAAAAAATTAAAACAAGGTTATTTTTGTCCAACTAAGTTGAAATTGGTCCTATGAAACTTGTGTTTCGTTTATAGTCCTAAATGTGCAATTAACTTTGCTATTAGTCCTATTTGAGGCATTAACTCTATCTTTATGGTGCTATCTTTATGGTGCGCTGAATGTTGGTGGCCTTTTGTCCTGAATTTACTTTTTGTTTTTGTTCTACTTTTTCTCTTACTTTTCAATTTATTAAGGAGTATTGCTTTTGCTTTTCTAGTTTTTTATATTACTTTTCAAATTCATCAAATAAATTTAATTTTCTGCAAAAAGTTAATTATGTCTTTTGACAAATCTTTTTTATTGGTAATGAAATGAAACACTATCATGTTTGTAATGTCAATATTAATAACCCTCCGGTCAATATTAATGTTTCTGCTGATGCTTTGGGAGATGCTGCTATGGGCCATCCTGGAATGCTGAAACGGGTTGATTTCTTTAATAAGGTGTCTAAAGCAGAGCAGACCGGAGTTAATTACAGTGATATCACAATCACAAATATTATCAATATAAATATTGTCACAATAATTAATGTCATACGTAGTATTATTTTTGTTATGAGAATGTTAATTTTATAATAAAAGTCAAAAGAATGTCATAAAAATGTATAAAAGTGTCATAAAAATGGATAAAAATGTCACTGGGTTAAGAAAATGTCACAATGGCAATGTCATTGTCGATATTATAATAGCATCTTCAATAGTAAAACGTTAACGGTGCATACGTGGCACGAGAGATAGCCAATGAAAAAACAATAAATAGAATATCTCTCTCCTTATTTGAAGGATCTTATATCCTTTTGGTAAGTTTTTCTTCACAATGTCAAGCACAATGTCTAGATGTAGACATTGTGGTTGACATTGCAGGGAAAAACTTAACAAAAACACATAAGACCGTGGAAAGATGGAGAGAGATGTCATAAAATCAATCTTTTGTGTCTATCTCTCTCATGTCACATGTGCACCGTGCACATTGTAGCATTGGAGATGCTCTAAAATGACATTGTAATTATGACAATGTCAACAACTATTATGACAATGTCAACAACTATTATGACAATGTTAATTTTATAATAAAAAAGTCACAATGTCGAAAAAATGTCGTGATGTCAATTAATCACAATGACAATGTCATAAAAATGTCATACAAATGTCAATAATAATGTCATAAAAATGTCAATGACAATGTAATAAGATTGTCAAAAATAACTTTGACAACCCATAACTTTGAAAATCCCAGAGAAGGCTACAAGTTATAATCAATGTCACAACATATATATATCACCTAAATCCAAAAGAGGCCATACCAATCAGTAACAACAATGTCCTTGCGTTGTGTGAATGAAAAACTAAACTTAAAGTTACAAATTAAAAATAAATTATGAATCAAAAAGGTAATAATAATTAAAAAAGGTAAATTAACCTGGAAACTAAAGTATTACTCCGTATTAATTATTAAACAAACCAAAGCCTGCTGCAGGTGCAATTTGAAATAGGAAATACGAAAACAAGAAACATTAAAAAACAAATTAAACAAACCAAAGCACTGGAGGTGCATGCAATTTAAAAAAGGAAATCAGAAAACATGAAACATTAACAAACAAATACAAAACCGAAGGAATCACACGGGTAAACAAACCGAACAAAGAAAAGTGATGGAAGAAAAGAAAGAAAGCGAGCAGCGAGCCTGCAGAGAGGGAAGAAAAGCAGGGAGAAGCGGAGGAGGAGTCAAGGAGGAGAAGAGGAGAAGAAAGAGAGATTAGCTGTGAAATCTTCGTCGACGCCTCCCTACACTTCTCCTCTTCGCCGTCCGTCGTTTCTTTCAAGGTTGGTTCACTTCATAGCTTCAGATTTGATCTGGTTTTTCAGATTTCCCCGTGAACCAAAGGAGGGCTTGAAAAGAGACGGTAAAGACATCGGTGCATTATTAGGGGCAAATATGGAACACCGGGAAAAATAAGTCCTATTTAAGAATTAAAATCATTTAGGTCCTATTTAGATACATGGAGTAATTTTTAGTCCTATACGGAACCATTTCTCTTGAATAGTTTTTTCAAACATTAAGTCCACTATATTGGAATGCATGTTCCGACTTGGAGTATTTTGTGGCAACAAAACATGGTATTAAGTCGTCTATAAAGCTCAATATGTCGGTCTGTTAATTGGGCACCTGTAAGTATTTGAACACAAGTAAAACCTATGGATTCAAATTTTGCAAATAAAATATGGGAATTCAAAATCATTTTTTTGAATCTAATTTCCTACTATCTTAGAAACTCCAAAGTAGACCGGGTCAAATTTATCTCCGGCTTCCTTTGAAAAAATATATACTATATACTACAGAGTATTATATTCTTTAAATACACACCTAATTGAGCACTCTATTAGGATTGTTTAATCTAATTTAAACATTCACATCGGATGATGCTATGTATAATAACAATAATAAATAAAAAAGAAGGTTCAGGTGATCTCTCTTTATTTCTACCATTCACATCGGATGTGTTTGGCAAAATCGACGTACCATTTTATGAGCAATTATTATTTCTATTTTTTCTTTTTAGTTTGGATCTCCAAAGTGGGATCTTCAACTTTTTGAATCTCTATTTATTATCATTTGAAAAAAATTATTAAACTGTTGTACTCAATTTATAGTTTAGTTCTTACTGAAACTTGACATTATATAATAATATTCAATGTGATCATCCCATATTTTTTGTATTAAACATTGAAAGACTTTGTTTTGTATGTAAAAAGATTAATTTACAATCATTTACTCTGTATAATTTACATACGAAACATGTACACCCTATTTCACAAACAAGAGCACTATTATTATTACTTTCCACAAACATGACTTGTTTCTAAAATAGATTTACCAAGACACGAGTTTTACAATTAACATAATTAATAGATTATTGATTATTAGTAAAGCTTATAAGAAAAACATATTTCAAATTTTAATTTGAGACAAACTTTATAATATATATTCTATATAGAAAAATTATTTAGTATATTACTGAATAAAGAGATTGTCTGAATAGTGACTCATAGTTTCTCCATTTTTTAGTAATAACTTTGCACTTTGGATTTGACACTTACATTATTCATTTTGATTGCACTTTAATTATTAATGTACAAATAATTAGTATATATAAAATATTATAAAACTTTTCTCAGATTAAAAATCTTATTTTTTTATTATTGTTACTAATAGCAGTTAAATATGTTAATCCTTAAAGCTATGTGTTGAAAAATAAAAATAAGTGTTGCATCAACATAGACCAGAAGCAATATTATATATTTAACAAATGGATGCTTAAAATGTTAATTGTTTCCTCACAAACGCTTAATATCTTAAATTATTATGTATTTAAGATCATGAGTTTGCATTATGAAAAAAACATATGTTCTTGCTAGTTGCTACTAACATTACTTTTTGTATAAAAACAATGTCATTTTTATATAGCATTGACATTGTGAAATTTTCTTGACGTGTGACATCTTTTTCATACATTATAATACATTTTCAATAATGTTATTTCTATCGAAGCAATGTAATTTTTTATATCAATGTCACTATTTTTAAGAATGTCATTGCTATTATGTTTTTACAACATTGACATTGTCACATTGTCATTATTGCAATGACATTCTCTTGACTAGATGACGTTTTTATAACATTGTCATTGTCACGATAACATTCTCACGTTATGTCATTTTTCCTGACATTATAATATATTATCAATATTGTGTTTTTCATTAAAAATTAAACAATGTACTCCACATTTTTTATTGCTCAAACATTGTATTTAACATTGTATTGTTATAGCATTGTGACTGACATTGCCATTATTTGATATTGTGATATTTTTCCGACATTGTGACATTTTTAAACAATGACTTTATATTACATTATCATGTCATTGTAATTATTAATACTACGAGTATAAATACTTTTTGACAATGTAACTCAATGTTTTTGTCCAAAATAATGCAACAAAATCCAGCAAAATAAAAACATTGTTATTAACATTAAATTTGCCAAAATAAATAATGATATGCGGTTCCAAATATTAATTTATTTGGATGAACTTGCAAAATCAAACATTAAATAAGAAATTGGAAAGTAAAACAACAAGAACGTAGATAGCAATGTATGTAGCATAAGTGCAGGACTGGCGAAGAAGACAGAACACCAAGGAAGTGGTAAAACTGAAACTGGACATTGAAGAAGAATAAAAAGGAGAAGGAAAGAAGAAGGAAGCAGGAGAAGGAATTGAAGACCAAGGAAGTAGAAGGGGCCCACTACAAAAAAATTGCCATTTACCAACGGTAGATTATACGAACAGAGGATTACCGTTGATATAGAATATCTATACTTACACTTTATCTCTTCAGTTGATTATTATAATATGAATACCCACGCTTTACTAACAATGTTGGTATATTTTTTAAATTTCCTACCATTAATTTATTTTCGTTGGTATAGTGACTGAATATACCAACATTTATAAGTAAAACCGTAAGAACAAGTTTGACCTATTAATTTTGAAAAAACTACAAAGACTTAAATAATGGATCCTAATACAAATTACTCGTTTGATCTTCCTGCTCTAAAAGTTCTATTATATCCAACGATTAGATTTTGCGGAACCTACTAATAAAGGAAAACAAAACCCTAGACATGGGAGAACTGTGTGCATGTTTCTGCTCATGTTTCTGCTCATGTTTTTTACTGTGTATCCATCGACCAGATGAAATGAAGGTTTATCACACCGTAATTCTATTACTGTTTCTACTTTGTATCTTTTTGCCTTATTTATAAAGGCTAATTGCTTTCCGTGGTAGCCGGGTGGATTTTAGGGTTCAAGGTTTTGGCGTTCTTTTTATTTTTTTCTTGTTATAACAAATTTGACTTTTCTAATGTCCACTGTTGTTCATTGAGAGCTTTTCTTCCCAATAGACCTATATTTCTATTCTTTGCGGCACTGGGGTAAATGAAAATGAAATGAAATGAAGACCTATATTTCTATTCTTGGATATGGTACTTGTCCTTTGGACGAACTATTACTGAAATATTTAGCAGACTGAGCTTGGCAGAAAACCACAACTATTGAGATTCTGAAAGCATGAAGTATTGACTGAAAGATTATGGCTTATCTGAGTTTTGTGGTTTAGTCAAAAAGCAATTGATTAGGCGAGTTTTATAGCATGTTCCTGAAAATGTGTTCTTTTTTTAAGAGCGGAAAAAATGTACATATAAAAAATGTATGCAGTCATTTCTTGTGAAGGCACAAGAAGCAAGCAGCTAGGTGCCTAGGTGCCTGATCCAAATCTCAGAAGCTCCTGCATGCTAATGTAAGGTTGGCTAAGACTTTCTTACTTGAGATAAAAAATCATAACATTGCTATTTTTATCGGGTGTATTATTTCAGTATTTCGAGTGGAGCAAGATGAAGAAAAGGAATCCATTTATGTACTTTGATGTGTCATTTGATGGAGGACCATCAGAGAGAATTGTTATTTGAGGGCATTCTGATATCACAGCCATTTTTATTATCTTGTCTCACGCCCTTCTAATCATGATGCGACTCTTTAAGTTGCTCTTTGGATTGTGCAGGTTTTTTCTGACATTGTTTCTAGGACAGCGGAAAATTTTCGGGCCCTTTGCACATGTATCTTCTTTAAGTGCGCTTCTAGCATCTCTGTTCTTGGTTGGTTTCTATTGTTGCTCAGAGTTACCGCCTTGCTGATTGGGACCTCAAGAGTAACTAGGATTGACCAAATTTAGTCTAGTTTGCCATTGCATTGTGTGATTTTTTTGAACATTGATCTTATTTCTGAAATATGTGGCATTTTAAATTGTTGAATGATGTAAATGGATTGTGCAGTTTAAGTGCAGCCCCACCTTTATGTGAGTTATGCTTTATTATTCATTTAACTAAGAATCTTTTTAATTTCAGGTTTTTCAAGATTTCGGACTAAACATGGAAGCCTTGGACAACAACTTGAACTTTATGCTCTTTTCATTTAGGTTATTTTATACTGCACACCATGTATTTGGATTATTAGTATGGAGAAATCTATATTTCCTATCCTGTAAAGAAATAATATTATTACTCGATGGTATTTTTTCTAGTACAGAAGTACGGTGTTATTCACTTTGTTATTATTTATTTGGGTCTTATATTCCCTAATATTAATCCAGAAAGGTAGGCTTGGACTCGGGTCGGGCCACCCGGCCCGTGGACCGGCCCGGCCCGCTACTGTGCGGGACCGGGACCGGCCCGGTTCTCGGGTCCGGGTCCGGGTCGGGCCTAGGCCCGGGGGTAGGGCGGGTCCGGGCTCGGGTCTGAATTTTGGTGGACCGGCCCGGCCGGGTCGGGCCCGGGCCAAATTGATTTTTTTTTTTTCATTTTTGGGCTTCCACCCGGGTTGGGCTTGATGGGTAGGACCGTAGGATGGGTTTGGGGGGGTTTGGGAGGGGGGGGGGGGTTAGGAAAGCAAAAAAAAAAAAAACCAACCCGGAGGCCCGGCCCGGACCCGGTGGCTACCCGGGCCGGTCCCGGGTCCACCATTCTTGAACCGCCAGCCCGGCCGGGCCTAGGCCCGACCCGGACCCGGCCCGGCCTAGGCCCGACCCGGACCCGGCCCGGACCCGAGTCCACCCTTACAGAAAGGCATTACAGATCATCCTCATTGGAGAGGAAACTACATACCCAGTAAATTTCATGATGTGGATTGTGGCATCTTTTAGGTAGACTAGGAGGTGGACGCTCTTGGCCAATACTTATCTATTGAAACCGACAATTTCATCAAAACCTTCTTTCTAAAATACTACGTAGTACTAAAATGTGACATCATAAAACAGAATACCTTACTAAAACATCGAAAGGCCTTGTATTTAGGGATGGACCCAGGCTGGTTCCGTTTTGGGTCTGGGCCGGGCCGGGCTTTTTTTTGGGAAAGGGTGAACCGGAACCAGCCTGGGTAGGCAGCGGTTACCGGCCGGGCAGGTTCGTCTTTTGCTTGACCCGGGCCTGGAACTGCCTAACCCCTCGGGCCTAGGCCCGAACTGGTTTCCTGGGCCGGGCAGCCCGAACCGAGTCCATCCCTACTTGTATCGACAAAAAAGTGACTCATAAACTAGATTTCCAAAAAAGTGATTACTAGGTAATTAATCACGTAAGGTATTTAATAGGTATATTACCTTGTATAGCCATCAAATAAAACAAACTATCGTGCAATATACAAAGCAAATCAGTTTTTATATAATTCATTGAGTTTAGGTAACTAACGTCTAAAGTTTCGGAGGCGGAGATTAAAGTCGTGCCCAACTTTTTCTCATCCTATTTCCAGTTTTAATAGACAAATAGGATTGCCATGAAATAAGGTTTTGTTGCAAAAATAATGTTTGGAGAAGTTGTGGACAATTGACGACAGTAATCTCAATGAATAGCATGGTGTTAATTACAGGGTGTGCGTATAGATTGTGTTTTTTTGACACGGTGTATATAGATTGTTGATATCATATTTACCACGGAGTATATCACATGATTTGAGCTTGCAGTCACTATAAAATTTCATGTTTTATCATTACACGGACTTCGTAATCTTTAATGACCACGAGCCATGTTCTTGATCATCGGATTCTAACACAGTCCTATCACTTGTTAGTGACTACAAGATCTACATCTACTCTTTCGGCACAACTTTACCATTCACATTTTTCCAACTTTTCCACCACACCCCAACCTATACTCTTCGAGCACAACACAACACACCGTTACCACACTCTCAATTACTGGGTGACTAAATCATCCAAATCTCACCTCACCGGCAACTTCTCCGTATAGTGGTCCAACCAACCCCAACATAACCCTGCTTGCATCAAAAATACTAATCTAAATGAGCCAACCTCTCAAATTTCACCCTACCCCAAGCCCAAACCAAACAAAGTGAATTCAATAACCCCTACTCTCCCAACCCACTCATTATTCTAGTCACTTGCAACTGAAACATTGTCACTATGAAAAAGATGAAGGAAGGAAGGACCTTGATCGAATAACATGGCAGAAAATGGAAGAAAGGAGGGAACCTTATGTGAGAAAAAGTTACCAAGTATTTTAAATAAAATAAAAAGTGAAAGAAGTCAGGAATTGAAAAGACCAGAAATTGGGTTACCTTGAGGCCGCTTTTAATCTTGTCCGTTAACGAGTATTGCTGCATAAGGTACTGCCCGTCCTGTTCCGGCACTGTTTTATTCTCGTAGCGAAGACTTTTCTTCAACCCAATTATAACCCTCTGTTCTCGGCCTTCAAAACAACCTGACCTGTAAACGGGTTTTCCTTTGCCTTGGGATTTCCAAGTTCCTCTTGCGTCTCCCACCCTCCTAATGTACCTTGAATTGAGGGGGCTCTTTTTGTTTAGAGCTGTCAAGAAGTAGACTCGTTCTTCTGACTTCTGTATTATATGCCATGGCTCTATGGAATACAAATCCTTCTCAGGTATACAAACTTCCGAGTTCACAGGTTTTCCGGCCACGTATAGGGCAAGATAACCTATCAGGTCGGCGTCTGACGGGCGGAATTTATACCCGACGGGCATTCTTGGTCGTTCCATCAGGAATTTAGGGAAGATGATGACAGGTTCTTGAAATGTAAAAGAAGAGTCGAGTAGAGCTAATATTTGTATTTTTGAACGTGTATACTTTATTTAGATTTCTAATTAGTATGACGTATTTATACAGAAATTCTTGAAATTTGAAATTTAACGGGAGATTAGAGTAGGATACGAAGTATGAAATTCGTATTTATACAGAAATCTAATTAGCTTATGTATGGGATACGAAGTAGGATAATATTTCTAATTTACATCTATGTATGGCCTTCTAGCTAATCTTTTCGTATACCGTAGTATAAATTAGAACAAATTACTTTACAATTTTAGTCTAATCCCAGTTTATTTTTTATTTTTTGCACAAACTTAAATAAAAAAATTACTTTATTAATTACCATACTGTTAAAACTTGACTAAGTTGTAATTATTCGTATTTTCTCTGTATTTTAAGGTTTGTTACACTTTCCTTTTTAAATGTATTTAAAAGTTTGCTACACTTTGGCTATGTTTTGCACAACAAGCTGGAACTGGAGACTAATGTCTGAAATAAGGATTGTTGTCTGAATCATAGAGTATTGTCTGGAGCTGAACTTTGGAGTGTTGAATCTCAATTGCTAACTGAATGAAGTAGATCTGTTTGGCAAAAAGAGCTGAAACATTGCAGGGATAATATGAAATGACATTAAAGGACATATGATTTATTAATTAATAGAATCAAATATTTAATATAACAGTTTTTATAATTTTAGTCCGGATGTTTTCAAAAAAAAAAATCAATCCGGCTTCAAGTTACCATGAGGAAAAGATTTGTCTCAATGAACAGTTAAAAGAGGGCTGAGGTATGTGAAGAATGCTCATGAAGGTATTTGAAAAAATGATTTTCAAAGGCATATTCTTTATTGCAATATGGACAAATTGAGGGAAGGATGCAATCCTGAAACCTTAGGAGATTCTGAGGAATAGGGATGGCTTTATGAAAAAGTTTCCAAAGAAAGAGCTCAATAGTCAAATATTGTTTAGTCATGCCAAAAATATACTCAGGCAGCTATCAAGCACATCAGACAATCATAAGATTTCTTAAGCAAATCACTTTCATCATGATTCTCCATGAAGAATAAGGTTCCTGTTTAGTTTATGTGTTCTGCTGAGTCTACTTACATCCTGGTTAACCCAGGAGTGGTCTGAATAGTGAGATGCCAACTTCACGTAGAATTTGCTCCGCTTGAAACAATTGAATTCTCCAGGAGTCTGAAAGCAGAGTTATTGCAATTACACAAATCAAACAATTACTCAAAACTAGAGAAGACTTCATACATAATAAAAGGACATGTACGGGGGTACTAGATAATTTTTCCCATCACCACAATTTCATTCAAAAACCATAGATAATACTGAACCTAGGATCCAAATTCTTCAAGCTTCATCACAAATTCAGTGTGAATATACAAATCCCAGAAAATATACATAAATCGATTAGGAATAGGATAATTAAATAGATGTTTAGTATGCAAAAAAATTACCGGTGGTTAAGGAGACGGAAATCCGGAGCTGTGGTGTCGCCTTCGTGGAATTGCATCCGTCGGGAGCAGCGGGGGGTCTTCGTCGAAGTCGCTGGCAGCAGCAGAGACGTCGTCTTCGTTGAAGTCATTTAGGAACTGCGGCATCGACTTGCGAAATATGCCCAAGGATAGCATTGGTATTGAAGGTCTACTCTATGACCAGCTGAAAAGAAACGTTACCTTGAGCGACGTTTCATTTCAGTTAGTTTTTTTTCAGTTTAAGCTCACTTAAGCTACTTGTCCAAACAGGGCTACTTTCGAGATAATTAGCTGAATATGTAAAATTTCAGCCTTTTTGAGCTGAAGTGACATGCCAAACATAGCTTTTCTCTTTTTTGGTAAGCTTTTTCTTTACAACTACTTTTACTTTTTCTACATTTTATCTTCACATTTATGTTTCAAATATATGATGTAGTTTTTTCATGAATACTATTAAAATAAATTCAAAATATATAATATGACTTATTCTAAAACTTTTCCAAAAAGTGAAATATATAGTGATTAGTTCTCAGTGATTCATCATTTACCAGTGACTTGTTACTATGAAAACATTATCGTGACTTTTGTCCAATTACACATAAATAGTAATCAGTCATATTTATGTCTAAAAAATACTACGTATAAGTAGCCGTATTTTTTTCTAGGGAAACATCGCTAGTAATATACATGTCATTTATCCTTTTTTAGAAGAATGCTATTGTCTCTGTCTCAAAATACTTAGCTATCCATTAAAGTTTGACCGGATCATGATTTTGATCAGTACGTAGTACGAAGTATAATATTATGCAAGTTATAAATTTTATACTTTTATAAATTTTTTCTTAACTAAAAACATTTTCATATCATTTATATATTATAAATAATTTTTAATAAAAAAATATAGTTGGGATGGACGACGGAGTATATTTTAATATTATCAAAAGCAATTTTGTCCAAATAATACTCCAAGATCTTAAATAACAACGGAGTATGTGGTCACTAAATATAGACACGTAGGAATTGTATCCTTCAGCGTGGCATACGTGCTCACTAATGAACCCGTAACATGCCTACTAAAATTTTCACGTATTTATAGGGGAAAATACATCCAATTTTAAAATCGTATAGGGATTAGGAGAGTAGAGTAGCCTATGGTTCAAGAATGCAAACTAATTAGGAAGTCATTTCTCATTTGAAATTCACTTACCAAAAAATTTAGGTCGTTTATAATACGGTTGTAAACGATCAAATACTTTATGATTGATTCGCGATTCGAATTTGTATAAGGCTATTCGAATTCGAAAAATTCAAATTCAAATACAAATAAGAATACTAAATTTGATTCGAATTGTTATCAAATACAAATAAGAATATCAGTTTATTCGATTCGAAAGTAAATCAAATATATTTGATAAATAATAGCGATAAAATTATTATTAATAATAATAATAATATTAATATTATTAATAATAATAGTAATAATAATAGTGATAACATTATAATATATTCCCGCAAAGTGTATCCCATACATACATTTACTTATACAAATTCCAAGCCTAATTGTAATAAATCAGAAGTATCATACATAGTAAGGATTGTAAATGAAGCAAATAATTTTAATTCGATTCCTGATCTGGATTCAAAAATTATGAATTAAATTTGAAAATATATAATATAAATACAAATCAAAAGATAAAATTAGTTCAACTCTCTCTCTCTAGGGTTGAGAGCTACGACGTTTAACGACTTATGGTGGCGGCGTCAACATGGGCCGCTCCGGCAGGAGGGCCGGGAGCGGCAGTTCGGTCTTTTGCGGAGATGCTTGCGGCTAATGAAGAGATCCCCATGAAAGCTCCCTTTCGTCATCGCGGAATGCTGGCGATAATGTTCTCAGAAGAGGAGATTGCTACCCTTGCGGCTCAACACAAACATGCATTGGTTGGTTCTTTTCTTCGAGGGAGACCAGCTATGGCTACCATCCGCCAAGAGTTTGAGAAATCGGCTTCTGTGGTCATTTGACGTTAGGGCTCTTGGATCAACGGCATGTTCTGATCAAATTTGATCTAGAGGAAGATTTCCAACGTTGTTGGTTACGACAGACATGGAGTATTGAGGTTTTAGACTGAGGGTTACTCGGTGGACACTTGATTTTAAGCTTGATGTTGAGTCGCCAATTGTGCCAGTTTGGATTATGTTGGAGGGATTGTCGCTACATTTGCAAGACAAGAGGACTTTTTTCTCCATAACAGGAATGATAGGGAAACCTTTAAAAGTGGATGCGGCAACAGGTACTCTGTCGAGACCTTCAACTGCTAAGGTGTGTATGGAGTTAGACTTGTTGCAAGAAATTCTGACTAATGTTATCAGTTGGGGCATAGCAAAGACGGGTGTGGAATACCCAAAAAGAGGAATGAGGGGGGCACACAAAAACAGATCATAACTATCAATATGCGAACGGATCAAAGGGTTCCGGATAAGTGGATTCAAGTTACCGAAAAGAATAAAGGGAAAGAAAAGGTGATCAACAAGTCAGAAACTGCTGATGAGTCATCCAAGAAGAGGTATATTCTGCAGCAGTACCAATCAAAGAAGGATACAATAGGTGCAAGAATGATCCCGACCCTTGCGGGTTTGATTAACAAGGCACAAGGTGCATTTGTGGATGGCCGCCTAATGTTTGATAACATTTTCCTTGCCCAGGAACTTGTTAGAGGATACAATAGGAAGCGAATTTCACCTCGTTGTATGATAATGGTGGATTTGCGAAAGGCCTATGATACTATCTCGTGGGACTTTCTTGCCAATGTACTTAGGGGTTTGGGCTACCCCGATAGATTTGTGGGATGGATTATGGAGTGTGTTTCTACCGCTTCTTTTTCTGTCTCTTTGAATGGTACATTACATGGTTTCTTTAATGGTAAGCGTGGCATTAGACAAGGGGATCCAATGTCCCCTTTGCTCTTCGCTGTATGCCTTGAATATTTCTCGCGCCTCCTTACCATCAAAAGCATGGATTCGAGGTTTAATCACCACCCGCTATGTGGCTCATTTGGGAATAACTCACCTGGCCTATGCGGATGATCTCATGCTCTTCTCGAGAGGAGACAAATATTCCATTGGAATATTGGTCGATGCTCTTAAAGAGTTTGGGGACGTCTCAGGCCTTAGGGTTAACCATAATAAATCCAATATTTTCTTGGGGGGGTTAATGGGCTGGATTTGCAAAACATATTAGACCTCGTTGACTATGGTCGTGGAGTATTGCCGGTGAGATACCTTGGAATCCCACTAGCACCTCTAAAAATCTCCGTGGCACAATATGCTCCCCTCCTTGATACGGTAAACGATTTTCTAAACGCGTGGAACACAAAGACGATCTCCTATGCCGGTAAACTAGAGCTTATACGATCTGTGATCCAAGGGGTCCAGTCGTTTTGGCTCCAAGTTTTCCCGGTTCCCCAAACTATTTTGGATAGGATAGTATCGATCTGTCGAATCTTCCTATGGGGTGGTAAGTTTTCTAAAGTAGCTTGGGAAGACATTTGTCTCCCAAAAGAGGAAGGAGGACTGGGCATTCATAATGCTAAGGTATGGAATCACGTCCTCCTCTCTCGTACTTTATGGGATGTCCATATGAAGAAGGACACCCTTTGGGTCAAATGGGTGAACGGTGTATACCTTCAAGGTAGAACCGTGTGGGATTTTATCCCACACACCCGGGACTCACAGCTCATGAAGCGGTTGAGTCTCATCCGGGATAAAATCCGAGGGTGCTTCAATAATCTCAATGACACTATCATGGGCCTTGCCTCGAGAGCCTCTAATGGTAAATTAGCCTCCGCAAAAGTTTACGATCTCCTAAGGGTCAAGGGAGAAGCTAGGACTCCTATGAGTTTCATATGGAAATCCTACATTCCCCCCAAACTCTCATTTAATGCATGGCTGGCCCTAAGAAACCGACTACCTACACAAGATAGCCTCGGGTATCTTTATATCGTGAACCAGTGTGATCTATGTAAGGGTGGTTTGGAAACAATACCACACCTTTTCTTTCTTTGCCCCTTTACTTGTAGGGTGTGGCATCACGTAAGGAGCTAGATGGGACTAAGACATGAGATGTCTACCTTGCTGAGTTCAATCAAATGGATCAAGAAGACCCATAAAGGATCAACGTTGAAGGCCAAAGCAACCCGCATTGCTTTCTGTGCAACGGTGTACTACATCTGGCACACTAGGAATGAGTGCAGATTTGATGAAAAAATGAAGGAGGAAGAGGTTATTGCTAAGGTCAAACATGTGGTGTATAAGGTACTCTACAGCATATACCCACATGAGTTGATCACGTTTTGATAAGAAGCTGAAAACCGTTTGTATAGCCTCGGTATTTGATAGGCTATGTGCGTGCACCAAGGTGCAGTTCCATACTGTTTACTTTTTTTTATTTTCTATGCCGCGACATAGGTGAGCCTTGTGGCTATCTTTGGTGATGTCCGTTTTGAAGTGAAAGCTCCTTCCAACCCTCTCCTATCACAGGAGGGGGTGGGGGGAGCTTTAAATTTTGTAAACTTTACTTTGGGTAATAATATATTTACATTTTATACAAAAAAAAGAAGGAAAAATCGACAAGTCATTGTCAGTAAAGGAGGCTATCACTACGCCAAAAATGGCCTTTTTCAACATACGAAAACAGTCGAAAAAGTTTATTTTCAACTGTTTTGGTCGGTCGAAAAAAAAGTCAAAAAATTATTCGACTCGCTTCATTAGTTGATATCAGTATTCGAACATCGACTCCTTTAGACCGTCAATGTTTACCAACTTGAAATATCAGTCAAGAATAGATATAGTGCATAATATTATAGACTTTTATTGCACTATCACATAAAATTAATTTTGTTTATCATGCACACCAATTATAAAGGCAATTACAATAATATTTAAGAGAACAAAATAAAGTAAATATTTTTCATTCATCAACAAAACACTAGATTAGAATTGAGTAATGTCTACTATCTTTTGAACATCCAGTGTCATTGACATACATGGTCCAATTTGACCCTTTAAGGCTTTAACTAATATTCAAGTAGTCTAATATGTAAAAACAAGCAAACTAAAGATCAAAGGACAAAAGTAACGGAACATTAATTGATCCTAGTGAAATGAACATTTGCTTTTGGCCATTTGATGAGTTCACCAACCAATATGTCTTCAAACTTCTCATCTCTGTCATATAGGTACTCACTCTCATCAAAGATCTCATCAATAATGATATCTTCTTCATTTGGTGGTGCTTCCTTATTTAAGCGCCCATAAGCAATAACCTTTTTCCTTAAATTCTTTAAAAAACATGCCCTTGTGGTTAAACTAGATTCACCTCCCTCTCATGTAATCAGTCAAACATTAAATAGTAATACAATAGATTTAAGTAATTAAAAAAAATTGTCCAAACACACGGCTAATCAAGTAATCTTATAAAGCATGATACATGAGCTTCTTTTCTCAAAATAATACACGATGGCATGTACATCTTTCAAACATTGTAACATCCACTAATAAATCTATAAAAGATATTACAGCAATAATATGAATCATATATATGTGTGTGCATTCATACCCATTCAACAATTAAAAAAACATATTCACTCACCAAGAGGAGCAAAACTAAAAGAAAGATAATCAAGACAACATTTAGAATCATCAGAATTATAACCCTTTCGGAAAAATCTCAAGGAAATCTTTGATCTTAGCCGTTCATCTTAAAGAGGTTGATCTTATCAGTTCATCTTAAAGAGTTCAGTCTATGTTAAATTCAATTTGTTTTCTATTACGAGTAGACAGTCTCTATTAAAATGTTTATGTTTTTAACAAAAAAGTTTTATTCGTATAAGGAAGATTAATTACAAGTGTACAGAATAACAAAAACATCTCCTCAAATAGCAAGTTTAGAAAACAAAACACGCAAAAACTAAAAGCTAGTTCAAAGTGCACGAGGAGTCAAGAACAAATCAGAAGTTAAGCTGAGAAGTATCATAAGTTAACCTGAGAAGTTAACAAATCAGAAGTCAACTCTTGTGATTACTGAGATTTTGCTACATCACTTTGGACCAGTTGCTTTAATGTAGTTACTTCTCTAAAAGTATTATAATTTCATTGTCAACTGTTTCATGTTTTTCCTTTTCCTTGCGAGCAATTTCTCTAGAATGACCTGAAGCATGTATCTCGTCTTTGTAACACCTCCACCCATACCACGTACATAACCCTTTCCATCACGAACACATACCTAAAATAGAAATTATGTTCCCTTGATATACATTGTCATTAGAGAAATGCAGGTTTTTGATAGTATATACAATAATTATAACATCACAAACCATCGCAACAGCATCATGATCCAAATCTTTCTGTCCCAAATATGTCCCTAATTTGGTCCCATAAGACACCAATAAGATTTACTTACTTTTTTTACCCAAAAATACTTCATTATTAGTAATTCAGGTTTATAAGAAAAAGTCATGTAAAACAGAGTAGATATATTTGAAAGCCAGGTTGCCAAACTAAAGATCCAACACGATGAGATCAGTAGGTTAGCTCCGGGGCCACAACATTTGATTGCAATAATATACGGAGTAGAAAAGAAGAAAAGAACTCCAAATAAACATCTTCACAGCAGCATAAAATGCATAATACTAACAAGTCAGACACCACACATCAACACAAAATAATTATTGTTCATAAACAAAAACTAAAAGTGAACACACCACACACTTCATATCAAGTGCAAAACACCATACATGAGTCTGATCAACAAGAGAGGAATCTAAAAACCACCACAGAGACGGAGAACAAGGTGGGGTGTGGACTCCTGGATGTTGTAATCAACCAGAGTGATAAAAAGATTTACTGACACATATAAGCCTAGCCAAATGAACTTTCAATATCATTTTTATATGAGTACTGCACTTACCAACCCTTCACTTGTGCTCATGGAGGTAGAACCATCCTTTCTGACATGTGTGACCAAATACAATTCAGTTCTATTGATGTCCCCTGTAGGACTATCCTTTTTCTTCAAACATACAATAATAGAAAAGGGTGAGCTTGGCTAATCGCCACATGCAAAACATACGGAGTATTTGTTTTGTTTACTTCAACTAAATTAAATTATAAACAGTAGTACTCCATCATTTGTGTACGTTTTGCTTAGAAGATTTAGTTCAACCTCATAGACTCAGATTTTCATTATCTAGTAATATTACTTACAAAAAAATAAAGGATGATGTAAGTAATTAATAAGACTAATAACCTGCATATTGCAATACGTCACTACAAAAAATTAAGCTGATTTTGGGTTCATCTTCCATATCTTTTCAAGCAATTTTAGCAGACATGGGCCATGAATTCATAACCATGTCTGCTGATATAGATGAGAAAGGAATCCGGAAAGAAAAGCCAGAAGATTTAGCCATGACTCTTGTTGAAGCAAAGGCAGATGCCATTATATAAAAACTTCAAAATGGTGAACTTCAAAAGTGTTATGCCACCCCAACACTTCTACTTGCAGCTGATACAGTGGTGATCTATGAAGGTATAGTGAGGGAGATACTTATCAATGAGGTTCTTTAGATAGAGTTGAGTTTGTTCACCCTGGCTCGATCAATCAATCAAATTGATTAAGTGTGACATCAATTTCAACTTTTTATAGAGTAAGTAGTTAAACATGTTTATTAATTTAAAACTCTAAGTTGAATGTTTTTGTTTAATGAAATATCAGATTTCACTATTGTTGAAAAAAAGGTGAGCTTAATTCCATAATACAATATAACCAGGTCAAGACTTAATTGAATTTTTAAGAAGTGTATTAGTTACCATTTTGTGAGCTATCCTTGCACACCCAGTCCTACCCGATGAATGTAGTCTCTTAATGCATTTCCTTGATTTTCTGCCCTTTTCACGCCGATCCTTGTCTGCTGGCGTAGAGCAGAACTCAATAAAATCTTCCCAGTCTTCTTTTTTCATACCTCTTGGCCTGTTCTTTTTTCGAGCAACATCCGTTTTATGCTTATCGTACTTCTTACGAAGTGATGATTTCCAATTTTTCCAAGCAATGTTTGCTTTTCTTAGCACTTTTTTCCTATACACTTCTGGTACACAATACTCATACTGCAATAATAATAATAAGAGAAGATATGTTACAGAACTTAAGAAAAAAAAAATCAGCCCATTTACTTACAGTAATATTATTCCATATGATATTCTTGATAGTGGAACTAACATCATTCCATGATTTGATCGCAGGAGGACAATGTGCCTTCACAATTTTTCCAACTACAGTTGAAAACTTCTCTGATCCAAGACCTACGGGCTGCCCATATTCGTTGAATACGATTTCCTTTTTTGTACCTAACAAAAGAATCCATTTTTTCAATAATTAATCTACAACAAACTATTAAAAGAAGTCATTGTGTAAATAAATGATTACCTGACTCATCATTCATGTTTCTATCACTCGCAATAGAATGTTCATCATCAGATTGATCCTCTAGGAAATCATCCTCCATGGATTCATTTTCATCATTTGAATTATTACAACTATCCAAGGTACAACATATATAATAAGATTTTATGATTTCTGAAACAATTTTTTTGAAAGTAAACAGTTAGCACAATAAGTCCTCTATTTTTATAAATCATCATCCATGCTAATAAATATACAACTAAACTTAAGATCAACACTGAATACATGTACTCTACCTCAAATGGTATTTATGTGGTGCTTATTGACATAAATAGTGGACTCATGTGACAAAACTATGTCACACATGATGTAACTAATCTAAAACTCAAAATCAGAAGTTGACACACATTATTCATTCAGTAAATGAGGAGTAATTATCTTAAATCAATCCACTTTAATTTTCAAGGATAGCCTCCAACTGAAAATAACTAATTTGGGAGACTGGGAGTTGTAAGAATACATAAAAAAATGAAACAGAGTATTTGTTTCTTTCCAAGGAAGGGCTCTTGTGGTGATTGGGGACATATTTTTTTTAATGAAACAATTGTTATATGAAAAAATGAAGTTCACAAAGTGTTAGCCTTCACTAGCTAGTAGCTACACTTTAATCCAAAGAAGAAATCAACTTTAATCAAGCCCTAGATGATATTAAGTTAACTCAACCTTTTCAATCCATAACCAAACAAATAGCATTTTAAATTGACATATCCAGGACACAAGCCTGCAAATCTCAAACAAGCCCTACAAGAGAAGACAAAGTCAACTCAACTCAAAGACTTGAAGTCCACCACTAGAGGCTCGTAATTCAACAAACACCAGCCACTCAATATATTCAATTACGTAGTCAGTGCATCCCAATCCAGGTAAACAAAACTAAATTCAACAACCTGAATTTATAGACACACGATAACATCTCGCAAGGAACGAGAGATGACTTCACAGATCATCGTTAGCTAAAAATATACTAATGATTTAATTTATCACAGTTCATCTACATGAGACTATGGGTACTTTTATCAAACAATTAGAGGGCATAACCAAAGTTGCATACCACCTATAATAAACAAGCAGCCATACCTGTTGATTTTGTAGATATCGAACAATTAGGTAAACTTAGATGGCCTTTCTATAATATATTATCCAAACAAAATGAATAAACGAGTGAAATAAAAGCTAGGTATTGACGCTCGTGTACCTATTTGGGTTGTACTGCGCTTGTTCTCGACTCTCTCTTTTGCACGAAACTGTCTTTAGGGCGAATTGAAGTAGAGTAGCAGTTCACAAATTAGGTTTATAAAAAAAGAAGATTGTGAGCGGGACTTCGTTTTTGGTTTGGCGCACAGAGAAGATTGAAGTGAAAATTATACTCCCTCTTGTCCTAAATAAATTTCACACTTTCCATTTTGGGTAGGTCCAAAATAAACTTCACACTTCTTCTTCCTTCCTTATTTGGCAAATTATCTACATCAAAACAGTGCCAAACAGTGCAAAACAGTGCCAAACAGTGTCAAAAGTGCCAAACAGTGTCACAACAGTGTACTCTACAGTAAAGTCAAATTTATTTCCTTAATTTGTGTGAAGTCAAAGTGTGAAGTTTATTTAGGACCGGAGAGAGTATTTCATTATGCGTATTTGATTTGAGGAGTGTTAGCGGCTTGGCGCGCATAGATGGGTCGATATATACGGGCTCAAAAATTTGGATTTGGCTGATTGAGAAAAGAGCTACCTGTACGGTAGTCCTAATAAGAAAGTAAGAGCTTTTTGACACATTTATGTAGTCAAAATTGAATTGACTATTTTTGTGAGTCAATTTAAAAAAGATGAGTGTCGAAAATAAGCAATTTTGGCGTAGTGTATGGTAGATCCTTTGTCTTCAAAGGAGAGAGCAGATGATGTAGAGGACAACTCTATGTTAGCAAAGGAAGCTATGGAAGAACCTAATGGTGAGGGGGTGGTTAACGTAGAGGACAACTCAATGGCAGCAAAGGAGACTAAAGAATCAGATAACTCATTGGTGGAGGTAGTGGTGCAACAAGAGAAGGATTTAAATTTGCTGCAGGGAAACAAGGCAGTGGAGACAATTGATGTACAACCTATCCAATCCATTACGGATGTTACTAAATTGATCTCATTTGAAGAGGGCTGTAGTCCAGATGGGGAGGAGCGAACACTAGATGACATTACTATTGAATCTTGGAAAGCTGTTTGAGGGGAGTTGAAAAAGAAGGTGGATTTGATTGAAAAAGAACAGGCAGAAGCCTCGGGTGTGGTAGCCAGACGAAAAACCAAGAAGGCACCTCCTCGCTCGGACACAATGCGATTGGCGGAAAAAGGAACAATGGGGTAGGAACCTTGGAGGATTCCTTATGAAGCTCCTAACTTGGAATGCGTGTGGCCTTGTTTCTGCTTGCCCAAGGCTACGTGAAATTGTTAGGCAGCATTCTATCAATTTTATTGCAATTATTGAACCTATAGTCAATCCTCCTAATGGGGTTTTCTATGCAAATAGTCTCAGTTTCTCTAATGTGTTTATGTCAGCTTCTAACAAGATTTGGGTGATGTGGAATTCTACTGTCTATGATGTGGTTTCAGTGATTGATGAGGGTCAATTTTTGTTGGTGAAGATGAAATTCTTGCCTTTAGATTTTGTGTTCACTTTTTCTCCAGTTTATGGCAAACACACACGTACGGAGCGTTCCTAACTCTGGGAAGGGATATATAAGCCGCAAAGGGAGGCTTGGATTTTAGGAGGTGTTTTAATATTGTATCATCACTGGATGAATATAACGGTCCCTCGGCGCCTCCTATGGGAGATATGGCAGATTTTAAAGACTGCATTGATGCTTGTGAACTAATGCAGCTTCCCACGACTGGTTCAAGGTATACATGGACATGAGTTAGGTCCAATAGGAGATTGTGGGAAAGGTTAGACCGTTACTTGGTCAATCAGAGTTTCTTGGAGGCTTTTGATACGGTTAATGTCCATCACCTAAGCAAGGCTTCGTCATATCATTGTCCACTTCTTCTCCTATGTGAAACGCTGGTAGTTAGAGGTCCTTCCCAATTTAGATTTCAAAATATGTGGTTTACGAATGATGACTTTATATCATTTGTGGATCAGAAACGGAAGAGTTGTCCTATGATCTGGGTTATTTAATCGGCGAGTACTCGACGAGTACTCCCTACTCAGCCTATAACCTTGCAGAGTAGCACATAACTCGGTCCGAGTTAATTTCCCGAGTTACTCGCCGAGTACTCGGCGAGTTAGGCAACTCGGTCAGTGGGTCAAATAGGCAATTTACTCGGGAGTACTCGGTATTTAAAAAAAAATTACCTCCGCTTATAAAAACTAAAAAAACTGTGCTTGGAGCTTCGACCCAAAAAAACTGCACATACAAAAGCTGCGATTCTTCTCCCTGGAGCTGCGACTGGTACTACTACGACCTGCGAGGCTGGGGCTGCTACTGGGGAGGACCTGCGAGGCTGCGACTGCTACTACAGAAGACCTGCGATTGCTAAAGGGCTGCTGCGAGGACCTGCAGGTTAGTTCTTTCCCTCGTTCTTCCCTCTTGATAAAGAATTAAATTGAGATCATTCCCCTCCTTCCCTCTTGATAAAGAATTAAATTGAGATTATTCCCCTCCCCTGTGACCCTGTCTCGTTTCTTATTCTGCCCAGCCCCCTACTGTCCTCCATGATAGATACACACTCACAATTTTGTTTTTCATTTACAGTCATGAACTCTGCTAAGTCTAGCCAGGCCTCTAATGGTGTTGAATCTACTGCTACTACACTTAAGAGAAAATCTGATGATATAGGATGGACATGGGGAGAGAACAGAGATCCTACTAATAAATCTTTAGTGTGGTGTTTTTTTTTTGGTGAAAGTGGAAGAGGAAGAACAAGTGGGGAATATCTGACTACTGAAGATCTATTTGGGGACATGGAGGATGAAGACGAAAATCACGACCTTGAACCCAATGAAGATTAATATCAGACCAACTTATTAGATGATTGACCGTTTTATCACTTTAGCTTTATGACATTTGATACTCCATCATTAGGATAATAGGATTTCTATCCTTTTATTCACTTATATGCATTTTAAGACAATTTAAAGACAATTTTATTACTATATTTTAAGACTACTATACTTAAATATATTATTATATTTATTTAATACTAGGCCGAGTACTCACTGAGTAATCCCGAGTAATCGGTCCTACTCGCTACTCGGCCCTTGACCGAGTTGCTACCGAGTAGCGAGTAAACTACTTAGCCTATGATTGGGGGCATGTGGGGTTTGTGCCTAAAACTTAAGTCTCTAAAGGTTGATTTAAGGAGATGGAATAAGGAGGTTTTCGGGAACATTTGAGGAGGCAAAAAAAATTGGAATAGAAGGCTTTAGAGGCTGAAAAAGCATATGAAGAAAATCCTTCGGAGGAGACTCGAGCTGCTTGTCACAAAGAACTGGCAGTTCTATTGAAAAGGATAAAACAGAAAGAGATTTATTGGAAACAAAAGGCTTGCATCAAAGGGCTTCGGGATGGGGATGCAAACACCAAGTACTTTCATGCTTCTGTTAAAGATAAAATTCGAAAGCAATTCATTCGGGCTATCAATAGGGACAATGGTGAATGAGCCTATAGTTCTCAAGGAATTGGGGAGGAGGCAGTGATTTTTTTGAAAATCTTTATGATCATGAGATACTTTTTCATATGATTATGTGCTTCATTTTATTCCACACTCGCTCACTGATGAGGACAACAATTTAATGAGTCAGATGCCAACTGAGAATGAGATTAGGGAAGTGGTTTGGGGCCTTAGTGCGGATGCGGCTCCGGGCCCGGGTGGCTTTGGTGCCTTGGTGGTAGTTTTTATAGAGGCTGTTGGGAGCATACTTGTCACGACGGTAAGTCGAGTCACGGCGCCGGCCAACTGCCATATCGCCTAGGCGATTAGGCGCCCGCCTAGGCGGTAATTAGGCGACTAGTCGCCTATATATTTATATATATATATAATTATGTATATAATTATATATATAATCATACATATAATTAAACTGTGCAAAATATATATCATACGTAGTATATATTAGTATGTACCAGTTTTTATGATTATTTTAACAGTTTATTATTTTATAATTTAGAACATATAATAAAATAGAAGTCTCACAGGTTGGGTATATCATTATATCATATTATATCTTGATTCTGTAATATAGAAGTGTATATATACACATATATTGATAGATAGATGAAAATACACCCTTTATATATATATATATATATAAATACACAACTTAATTAATTAAAATAATAAAAAATGAAGCCAAAAAGAAGAGATCGGGGACTGGGAACTAGGGAGTCGCCTGCTACTCTGCTTCCGCGAGCGAGGGACAAGGAGGGCCATACCTGCGACTTTGTCTTCTTCGTGGAGTTGTTCATCTGCTTCCTACGACTCTACGAGGCTGCGACTTGGCTTGGCTATACGACTTTGGGCAACGAATCGTCGGTAAGGAAGATTACTATGGGCTTGCTTTTAATTAAAGCCTAAATCTATTTTTATTTTGGGTTCTGGGCCTGCGCCATAGCAGTCGACATTCCAAAAAGGCGAGGACTTCGACGCCAAAACAGCGCCTAGACGATGCCTAGACGACGCCTAGACGACGCCATTCACGACTACTCTTCATCTGGCGAGGCGAGTGAAGCTGGCGAGCAGTCCCTAGCGCCAGGACGCCTAGTCGGCGACGCCGTGACAAGCATGGTTGGGAGATTATAAAAACTGATGTTACTCCGGCTGTTCAGGAGTTCTTTTTGGGAGTACGTATTCCCAGGAGTTGGGGAGTGTTGACTTGGTTCTTATTTCTAAAAAGAAAAATCCTATTTCTTTTGGGGATTTTAGGCCTATTTGCTTATCTACCGTTATTATCAAAGTCAACACTAGAATTCTTGCTACCAAATTGGCTGCTTTGTTGCCTAAAATTATTTCAGGAGAGCAGTATGGATTTATGAAGGGCAAGGAAATTCAATATCAAATATTGACTGCTTTTGAAATGTTACATCACTTAGATAAAAAGGTGAGAAGATCAAACTTGGTAATTAAACTTGACATGGCTAAGGCGTTTGATCGGGTTGCATGGGGTTTCCTGGAGGCTATTCTAGCCAAATTTGTTTTTACAGATCATGTAAGAAGAATTATTATGGGCAACTTGCAAGCAACCTTCATTTCGTTTTTTATTAATGGAGCTTCCTATGGGTTCTTCCAACCCCATAGGGGGGTTAAGCAAGGTGACCTGTTGTCTCCTTTGTTGTTTATTATTATGTCGGAAGCTTTCTCTAGGGGCTATACCAGTCTGGTTTTGGGAGGAGATATTGGTGCATTTAATACGGGCAGGGCTTTGAGTATTTCACATCTATCTTTTGCGGATGATCTGATGATCTTCCTTAATGGGTCATCAAAATCAATTCGAAAATTCAATGGATTTCTTCAGTCGTATCAACGGGCCATTGGACAGTTGGTTAACAAAGACAAAAGTTGTTTTGTGGTCGGGAAGCACACAACAAGATGCAGATTAGCCCATATTGAGAATACTTTGGGTATGAAAGTCTCTAAGCTACCTATGAAATATCTTGGGGTGCAGCTTCACAAAGGGATTACTCGGTTGCGGCATTGTAAGGAATTGTTACAGTATATGGATGCAAAATTAACGGCATGGAAACAAAAGATGTTGTCTCAAGGGGGAGACTTACCCTTATTAGGCATGTCCTTAATGCCATTCCTTTACATGTGTTAGCGGTTACTAGTATTCCAGCAGCGGTTGTGCACATGATCAATAGGAAGATATCAAATTTCTTTTGGGGTTTTAAGGAAAATAGGCCAAAGCATCATTGGATCTCGTTTAAGAATCTTTGCAGGCCTATTGAAGTAGGAGGGGTGGGTATAATCATTGAAGGATACTCAAAAAAAAATCAGCATTCAAGATGTGGTGGGAATACAAAACTGGGGAGTCTCTATGGGCAGGTCGCCAGGTCTTATGCGAGTAAATATGGCAGAAGGTCTTTGGGAGAGGTTAAGCCTCTCGATTCTCCATCTTGGAGAAGAATCTGCCAGGTCCATGTGGAGGCTGAAGTTATGGTTGATAGAGGTACTACCTCTATCAAATGGAAACATACTAGCAACGGGGAGTTCACTTCAAACTCAGCTTACAAGGCTCTCTGGCCGGGGAGGGGGAGGTCTTAAACAAATACAAACATTTGGCACACAAGGCAGGTGCCAAAAATAAAAAATTTATTATGGAACGTGTGGCAAAAAGGGTTACCCTTTCCGGAGCAGTTGGCGATGTTCTCTGCAGCCTATCCCTCTTGTTGTCCCTTTTGTAAATCGGACTCTGCCTCACAGGAACATGTGCTACTAGGCTGTCCGTTTGCAAGATCTATCTGGAGTTTCTTTGAAAATCTACTGCAGATTAAAGGAAGAATGGCAGATCAAATTAGACCCCAATTTATGAAGTGGCGGATCTCAAGTAAAGGTAATTCAATGGATGCTACCTTTCTGGTGGTGTTGCAGGGAGTTATTGCATGGCACTTATGGAAGCTTTACTGGGAGATAACTTGGAAGGAGGTTGCTCCAGGGTCGTAAACCAATCGAACGGAATACTTAGATAATATTATTCTTATTCGTATAATTATCTAATATTCGTATTCGTATTCGTTTAAAATTCGAATCTTATTTTGTATTCGTATTCGATTCGTTTGATATATTCAAATCTTTTTTGAATCGAATTCGAATATTCGAATTCAAAAAACATTAAAGTTAATTTGTGAAAATAATTAAAATTATGATGTTAGTTTGCCCCTTTTAACTAATTTTCATATTACATATTTTATAGGAAACAAAATTCATTTATAGAAGTCACTTCAAATTTAATATCAATATAGATAAATCAACGAAGAATTTTAATTGTAAATTAAGCTATTTTGACCTGGTAAAGTAAGAATTTTTAAGTTAAAATATGCAAAATATTTACATGAATATTTTGTTATTAATATTTTTACATTGAACTATATGGATTCATAAGAAGTAGTATATATTCTATGAATATATAAATATATGTATATATATATATATATATATATATATAATTCTAATATATTCGAATATTATTCGAATCGAATATCATAGTATTTGTATCCGTATTCATAAAGTATTCGAATCAAAAAATAGATTTGTATTCGTATTCGTATTCTACTTACTCGAATTCGAATAGGCATTTTCGAATTCGAATCACGAATCGAATCAAAATTATTCGATTCGTTCATAACCCTAGTTCCAAATAAAGATTTGACCATTAATAATATCAAAAAAAATCATGATTAACTGGTGTTATGCGAATGAAAAGCTGAAAGGAAATGCGAGGTTGAAGAAGGCCGGGCTGTTACCTGGTAACTTCCTAGTGAAGAAGAGGGGATTCATAAATTTGAGATGATGCCCAAAAACAATTATACTAAACTTAAAGCTAAATACAACAACAACAACATCCAAGCCTTAGTCCCAAAAGATATTGAGAAGGCTAACATGAATCGATACATGATATCACCACCAAAAGGAAAAGAAAGAAAATAAAGATAAAAAAAAATAAACTATTATAAAAATATAATATAAAAAGAGATGAATATACATAAAAATGATAAAATAAAAAGGATACAAATAATGTTTATATATACAAGGATAAAAAACAAGGGGAAAAAAAGATGAGGGGAAAAGATGATACGAGATCACTTCTCCACACGAATACCCCCCCTCCACTTTGCTCTCTCCAAAGTCATACCCTCATCCAACCCAAGAAGAAGCATATCACTTCGGACTCCCCTAACCCACATCTGTTTGGACCTTCCCCTCCCTCTCTTCCCTGCCTCTTCTCCACACATCTTAACTCGTCTGATAGGTGCATCATTCGGTCTTCTACGCACATGACCAAACCACCGTAGGCGCGACTCCCGCATCTTGTCTTCAATAGGTGCTACTCCCACCCTTTATCTGATTGTCTCATTCCTCACGCGGTCCTTCCTAGTATGCCCACACATCTAACGCAGCATGCGCATCTCTGACACACTCATCTTTTGAACGTGACATTGTTTCACCGCCCAACACTCTACGACATAAACTTAAAGCTAAATATAAAATGAAAAATATCATCTATTAAAAAAATTGAAAAAAAAAAAATTAAACTACAGTGGGCTTAAGCCCACCATATATCTAACTTAAAGCACATAGTTCCCCTTGTATTACGGGTGCGAGAACAAATATACTTATGTTCTATTTTTCAAAACAAATAATCTGAAGTATAGGTTGGAGTGCATATATACCTATGAACCTTTAAAATGTGCAATAATGCCACTCATATTCTTTTAAAAGATCAAATTTACCCTTATTGACTTTAAATTCATAAAATAAAGTTCAAAAAATACCAAAAATAAATTATAAATTCAATATTAAAAAACTTATTAAAAATGTTGATGGATAGTCTACTCAGGGGTATGTATCCGAAGGGTTAATGCGGGCAGTAACTAGAGAGAAGCCAGAGCAAAAGTAAGAGAGAGAGTATATTGCTGAGAATGTAGTGAGCGTGTTTTTAGCTTGAATTACAAATGGGGAAAATGTGCGCTATTTATAGTAGTAATAAATGCCAGATAGGGACACGTGTCAAGCATCCAATGGCCGATGGGTCACATCAACTGGTTGGCACTGGCAGTCACATGTGGCCGCATTTAATGCGGCTGTTGGATGTGACGTCATACTTGGTACGGTGATTCAGGCGCATGTGGAGAGGATATTCTGTCGAGCAAGGTGGCCTCGGCTGCAGATGATTAGCCGAGGGCTCTAAGTACCGGGGACCTCCTTAGTTCCGAGGGCTCTAAGTGCCGAGGGCTACTGATTTTCGCCGTTTTCTCCCAGTAACTTTGTTTGCTTGAGTTGGCCATCCTGTGAGAATTTGGAGCCTTCGGCCAGGGGGCGAAGGCACCCCCAGTGTGCCACGTGGGTTGCTCAGTACTTGGGGCGCTTGTGATTTGGGCCTATTGGGCCTCCATTAGAATAGTAGGAGTCTATGGGCCGGGGGTTCCTGGGCCATATACTCCATCATGAGTCCCTCACTCCTTTTGCCGAAAGGTACTTGAGGGAAAGGAGTAATTTGTGTTTGTCCTTTGGTGTTGTTCCGTTGTAGTTTGTAAAGTTGGTAAGGAGTTTGTCGTTTGCATGATTTGCCTAAAGCAGTCCCTCAGTTATCCACATGTCGAGACTTGAGGGACCACATTGCTGTTTTGGGGAGTTTTTGATATTTTGTATTTTGAGATTTTTCCCAAGGGGGTTCTCCAGTCCCTCACTCCTTGAGGCGCTTGCAAAGTGGTGAAAAGGAGTATAGTAGTGCCCGCCTTCAATATGAAGCCGAGGGGTGACGCTTTTCGTTTCATTTTGGGGGGATGCCTCGTTAAAAAACTCATTGGAAAAAACCCTATGGGAAAACATTCCAATGAGGGAAAAAGAGTGCACCGAATTCCCCCAATGATGAGTCGAAAAGGTGAAACCCTGGTCTGAAATGAGTGGCAGTATTCTTGCCGAAGGCCATCCTTTTTTGAGGGCGCGTGTGTTGATTCGTCGAAGGCTCGCTGTTGTTATCCTGGGGGACGCCGAAGGGGAGCCCCCAATTCATGAGAATGAGGGTGCGACGAATGTAGATGATAAGTTGAGGGCCGTGGTACCCCGGGGGATTTCCTTGTTGCGTAGCCGGGGGTAACTGTTGTTGAAGGTGTGCTCCCCGGGGGTTACGTGGCCCTTAATGTGTTTGAGGGCTGGGTGTTCCCGAGGGGTGTGCCCGTTGTGAAGCAGTGGGCTTCTGAAGGAGTGAGCCCGAAGGCACTTGTGATGTATTATGAGGGGCATTGGCCGGGAGCAATTTCGGGTAAGTGTACTCGGGGGCTCCTCTTGATGCAGCGGAGTGAAGGAGACAGCCCGGGTTCCCAGAATATAGTCGTTGGAAGGTGTAACGTCGGAGATATATCCGTTGGAGGGGGACTTCCACGTGGCGCGTATCCAGTGGCTGCCTGCGGGCGGGTGTTACCGATTGGGCGAAACGACGGTAAATAATGATGACTCTGTAACCAGAGGCCCGGTTTTCAGGGCCAAGCCCGGATCTGGGCGCCTATAAATACCCCAAGCCCGGGCCATTTCCCCCTTACGCATCCTTGTTGCAACGAAGTGCTGGCAAAAATTTTCTAGAGAGAGAAAACGCCCTTCGGTCAAACCAAACTTCCCAAAGGTCAGTTCTTGCTTCGCTCTTTGCTCCTTAGTATTCTTAGCCTTGTGTCCTTAGGTTAAGCGTTAGAGCTCTCTAGAAAACCTTTAGGAGACCTACTTCCTTAGAAAAAATGTCGTCTGCAAGTGTTTCCCAAGACATCTCGAGGGAGCCCTCGGTCGAGAGTGAAACCGTCTCCGACGTGGAGTCTACGAGTGAACAACCCTCGGTGGGCCATGACGCCGTCGTAGCGATGGAGTTGCAGAGATCCCTCGTAGCTGAGGTGGAAGCCGAGGGGTTCGAACAAGAATGCGAGGATGAAGAGCTCACTCTCGCCTGGCAAGTGGCCGAGGAGGAGGCACAGAGAGAGGGCATGAAGGTCACCGTTGCGGTACTTCCCCCCACCCCACCCCCCCGGAATGATGGAGGGGCCGGTAGCTCTCGGCCTTTGAACCCGACTCCTCTCAGGGTAGCCTCCGGGAAGAAAAAGAAGACAAAAGATGCTCCCAAGAAGAAGGGCATCGCTGCTGACACCGGGAAGCCGGTTGATATGCCCGAGGGTTATTCCTTCCTCAATACCTCCGCCCTCGAGATAAAGTCGAAGGCAGATGGGGCGGACTACTATGTCACCTAGATGCACGTTGGGCCCTCGGCGATGGTGGTACAACCTGGTCCAGAAGACGTCCTCTCCCGGGCTCCTGAGGGGTGTATAGCGGTGCACATACTCTTGGTGTCAATGGGCCTCCGGTTCCCTCTGCACCCTTTTCTTCGTGAGTACCTTCGGTATGTAGGTTTGCTTCCCTGCCAGCTCACGCCAAATAGTCAGTCGTATATCACTGGGTTCCTCCATCTTTGTAAGTCCCGGGGGTGGCACCTAGCTTGGACTTATTTTTTCAAAGTTTCAAATTGTGTCGGGGGGCCATGCGAACGTCGAGGGCTTCGCGAACCTGCAGCAGGTAGCTCAGTTCAAGCTATTCACTGAGGCCCCTTCTTCAAACAAGGGGTGGAAAGACCGATGGTGCTACGTGAAGTTGGATGAAAGCCAATTTCTGAGGGAGCTACGTGACCGGTTTAGGCGGCATGAGAAGGTGAGGAGCGCCGCCCTCGAGAAGGATGGCATGATTCTGGCTAAGATCCGAGAGGGTCGAAACAAAAATATAGCCATCATGGAGTGCACCCTGGAGAGCGATCTGTACGCCCTCGGGTTTCGGCGGTATCATTTCCTGGGGGAAACAGATGAAAAGTACTCGATGTTTGATGGAGCCTTCAGGGGTTCAGGAGGTAGTAGTCGAGGGCATTCAATTTTTATACTTATGAATATTTTTCTTTGTTAGACGTAGATATTTTTTGCACCTTTGAT